TTTTCCCTTGCTAACTGGTTCTACTCTTAACGTGCCCAGACTATATTTAAGAGAATCTCATATCGGTAAAAACTCAAAAGTATGTCCAGTTGCCATGGGAAGATTCTGAAAAAAAGTCTATACAATTACTATAAATTTAGTATTTACATTGAAAGAGACCAGTAGAAGATTGGGGTGAATAGAGAAGAATAGTTTGGTGGTATGTTGTCAATGGCCGGAAAACGATGAAAAGAAAGAGAAAATTTGATTATTAAGCGTTCGATTGTTGGACCAGAAAGTTAGTCATATATAGTTTATGAACGTAAATCTTAAAATATTCAGTAGAAGCAAAATTTAAATTACGTATAACAGAATCGTTTTCTGATTGTTGAGTGCCACAGTTTACCTGATTGGGCGGCCTTCGATATTCAGGGCGTTTGCAATAATCCCTGAAAAGTACCGCGTCAACATTCGAACCCAGTGAYTTGTAGGTTAACCAACATTGACTCACGGGACATCCAATGAAATCGCCCTGTTCGAATTTGAGAAGTTCCCGTTCTGTGCCAATGCTGTTTTGGATTAAAATCCGTTTGTAAGGTGCGATCACGTACTTATAGTCTTTCGGCAAAAAATACATTTGCTTTTTGTTTCTGTCACCGTAAGACAATTGTTCCAGCCTCATTAACCTTGTACTACCAAAATTGTTTTCACCACCTATATTTTTTACGATGTAAAACAAACTAATAATATTATAATATTAAAATGAACTTAGGACGTTAGTGGTGTCTTACAAAACGTATCACCGGTGGTTTGAATTAGGTCCTGCTGAAAAACAATTTACATATTGGTGGAGATATCCAGCTATTGCTTAAGTAAAATAMGGGGTTTTCAGGGTTTTCTTTTTGTTAAAAAACACTTACTGTTCTGAAAAAAATCATGAACACGGCCGATATACTCATTGTCATTAATATGAATATGAAAATTTTGATTTTTGGTAGACGTTTGGTGCTAAAAATTGGAATTTTAATTTCTATCATTTTAAAATTAATACTAAAATATTAGAGAAAATATTTAGTAAGATAGATTATCGTGACACAATTATTAGTTTTGGTGTGTATGTTACTAGTGTGTATAACATTATAATAATATACTGCAGTAATTTGTCACTCAACTATATTTAACGGAGGAGTAGAAAATATATATTCAACTTTTATAAAACTGTAGATTCAATTGGTTTGCCACCTGTGGTTTTATTTATTTATTATTTAAACGAGTAGATAGTGATTGAAGGACATAAACAATTAATTAAAAACAAAATTTGATTATGAATATTATATGTATATTTCACAGTAATAATTTTAGTTTTTATACAGGTTTGATATTTAGTATCTTTCCTGTGGAAAAGTGAATATATACATTTGAGAGGTGAAATTTTCCAGTTGTTTCAAAAATGTCGTTAAAAACAAAACAAAAATTAAAGRAAATCGGGCATTTTTACGCTACACTGGTTTTCAACAAATTCRGTRTAACAAAAGATCACAGATAAATGATAATTTCACTAAATTTTTCCAWTAAWATTTTTTATACATCATTATATTTTCAAAATATTTTGATTCGTGTTGAGCTCAATATAAGGTTGTAACTTATAATAAGGCATATGAAATTTTAATATATACATATTCTTTTTAAAGTCATAATGTTGTTGTAAAAAAAATATTGTTGCTTAATTAAAAAACTTGAAAATTTAATACAAATTTTTTGCAAGTTGTAACGGAACCGCCATTGGCGAATATCCGCCACGTAATAAATGTTAACTCTGTTTATTGTTATGGTAATC